CCCCGCCCCCGCCCGCCGACCCCAACGCTGGCCCCGGCGCCAACGCCAACGCCGGCAACGCCAACGCCGCCCTCAAGGGCAGCGTCAACGCCGGACGCGTCGCCAACGCGGGTGAGTGGCCTGCCTCTCTCCCTCAACGCCACAGGTCTCTCCCTCTCCCCATCATCACACGCACAAACAACATTCGTCGCTCGTGTCCACGAACGTTGACACCGTCAGCCTATGTTATCATATTTAATATTTTGATGTAGCGCCAGGTCTCACTTTCAGTATTGTGCCTGCGATTCGCCGATGCATCGGCAAGAATACCTCAGGCGCCAACTTGTTTTGCTAAATATATCAGCGTCCCATTTGGTGGCTGCGATGGTTTCATTAATATCCGTGGAGAATTCACCTATTATGCATACGCGTGTTTCAGCCATTTCTTTCGTTTGAGAAAGGTGACAATAATGCACCTTTTTGCGCGTTCATAAACAAGAATATGCCAGCACATCTCTTGGTGCTCTTGCCACAGCTCATTCGTATTAATGTTCTTTGAAAACTCGCTCACGTTTCTACAAGAGTGCGTGTGTATTTCTGATCTAGCCAGAAAGTATTGTGCGGTCAAGTTTCTTTCAACCTATAACTTCCTGCGGGTTTACGCACCTTCAAGAGCAGTGCTTGCTGCAATTGTGCGTAAACCATGTCTGTATTCTAACCAAGATGTTGCTAAGTTGTATATAATTCAACAATCCTCTTTTTAACACATGAATTTTCAAGACATCTGACTGGCTCAAATGATCAGTCAATTTCTGCTCCACCCACAGCTCTGTTTGGGTATTGTTTCGACCGTTCGCATAACGTTTCTGCGATATCACAAGTAGTGGGCGGCGCGTTTCGCTGTCTCGTTACTGCTCTCGTTCTGAAATTCTTTCAACCACACACCTGTTCGCTTAATCATGCGTCTACAGGAATACGCTTTAGTGCCAATATTTATCATTTATCATAGCTCTTTTAATACTATTGACCATTCTCTCTGGTGCTTCAAGAGTTGTTTAGTAAAGAGAATGCACCAAAGCGTCCCAGTTTGTGCTCTTACAAGTTGGAAAAGTTTCAACCATAAATACTGCTAGGTGCCAACGCGCTTCACAGTATCTGTATTAGTGCTCTGACCACAGCTCTTTCGCTTGCATACGTGTCTACCTGCTCACGTGTTGCATTGATAACCGCTAGTTGAAGCCACTACTTTGTTTCTGTTGTATGCTCTAAGACAGGTTTTTCTCTGTTTTAATATTGTTTTAACCGTTCGAGCGGGTAGAGCAGTGGTGAGCAGCAGTGGCCTTGTCATGTGATTCGACTGTCAGATTTATCCGAAATGAAGATCAAATTTGAATAATCTATCAATCACTCACTAATCGATCGTACCTACCAGTACGCTTTACGCCGTATCACGTCATGGCTCAAGGGAATATATTCGATGTACATACTGATTTGGATACCGCTATCTGTTCAAACATTCACTCATTTCTCCGCGCGCTTGCAGAGCGTAAGTAGGTATTGCGCTGCACATTGTACTCCGTAGAGGAATAAATTAGATCGCTTGAATCCGCGACCAGCCGGTGCCGCGCTCCGCCCCCAGCCACTACTGCCATGCCAGACGATGGTTGTCGAGATATCATCGCTCCGGTTCGGTCACCGTCGTGTCGGCCTTCTCCGCGCCCGTCAAATCACCCACCTGCCACCCGTACCCTCAGCGACCACATTCCTCGAGTGTTTTGTTATCAGCAGCGCATTGCTACCTGCTTCAGGCCTGTCCGTCCTTCTTTCCGTTGCCCTGGACGGTCCTGTAACCTGGAAAGTGACTACCGCGGAGGGTGCCTTTTGGTTTTTCGTACATACCAGTATTTTTTTTGTCAATGATAGTATATCTTCTGTACTGACAATGGGAGTTCATTTTAAATAGTGTAATGCATCAAAACTGTTTATTGTTTTAATTGCGAGATTAAAAATTATTTTTATTAAAGTCACACTCCCGTACTAGAAGTGACCCATCTTAAAAATTCCCTCTTTGGATATTTGGAAAACAAAATTAGAAAATGTAATTTTTAGTTGATCTGTAGAATTGACATGTGTTAGTTGTGTAATGTCACACCTCAGAACTTCACATATTTTAGGAGCTCAACTGACCACACCAAATATTTTGTTTTATCAGTTTTGTAAGAGGTTGAGAAATGTCAACGAAATTCATGAATTCCATACAGTTGCTCTTTAATGGAAAACTGATTTTGAGATTAAATTTAAAGTTAGTCTCGCGCCTGGTTGAATTACAATTTCAAACTCAGTGAAGCTAGGTTTCAGTGATTTGACTTTTGTGGCTTTTTATTCTAGCCTAGGCTAAAAATCGGTGTATCGAAATACTGGTATCATTTTTGCAATAGACCACATGCCGGCATTGGATCAATATATTGTTCGGCTGTGCTTTTTTTCTCACATACGTGATTTGTGATTCAAGTTCTCTGACGGGCCACAAATCTGAGACTGAAACAATCACTTTGCTTCCCCGACCTAAAGAAGTCGTATGAATTATTGTTTCGACTATAAATTTCGTCTATTTTAGCCTGGTTTGATCCTGCAAACTCATTATGACAGTTGACAATCGACTTCGAAGCCGAATATTTACAAATAGGTACTTTGAAGAAGAAAGAAAGAAAGAAAGAGAACAAGAAAAGCCATCCCTCCCAAAGTAGAGCGTGGCGGCTGGCGCCCTTGTGAGAGGGCGGTCGCTTTCATCTGGCGCGGGCGGGTGCGCGCTCGCTCGCTCGCTGGCTTGGGCCGGGCGTTGCACTCTCTCCGCCCCGCCCGCCCCGTGAGCCGCGCCCAGGAGCCTTCCTCGGCTGCCGAACGGATGCGGTGCGTCGCGCCACGCGCCTGGAGCTTCTGGCTCAGCTTTGCTGTTGTGGGGTTAATTAAACGAATGAACTGGAACTGCTATTTCAGGCATACCACTCTCCTTGCATAATACGCCTTTTAATGTGGTAGGGATAGCAGATTTATTAACAATCATTCTTATTACAATCTATTACTACACAATTTCAGGACATTCTTCACCTTTATTCCCCAGACACTCTCATGCCTTTGCGTTTTAATCCTGATATTTCAGTTATACCATCATTGAAGCCTGACTTGAGGAGTTCCTTTCCTGTCTGGAAACCTTTGTGCTCCACGTTTGCTTGATTTCTTTTCACCTTGTAATACCTGTATAAAATGCTACATGAAAACAGTATATTTATACAATTTAAATCGCGTAGCGGGTTCGCTCTAATTTTCAAGAAAAGGGTTTGCCTAATTTTGGGACCAAAGAATGGTACACATTAATCGTGGAGGAAACTATCTGGGTCTTTGTCTCTACGGTAGTTTGGTCGACTAAAGTGCCTGTGCAAAAATGTCAGTTTTTGAGACACGCAATGTCTTGCGTTTTGATGAAAATGATTAGTCGTTGTGCTTCTGTGAATGCATCCAGTCATTGTGCTCAAATTGGAGTGGACCGTTAAGTAATGTCATTTGTTGTTTTGAGCAAGTGTCAGAAGGGTGCGTAACTTAATGGGATCGCAGGCAACGTTGCGTAATACTGTGTTGAAGACCTACATTCTTTTCCGATATAGTCTTCATATTTGGGCCGAATTGTTAGCAAACCTACTTAGGACACATCATCCCGTGTCAATGGCAAAAAAACTCTACCAAAAGGTACATGCAATATTTTTCATAGCAGATTCTTCAGAAATTGGATCAATGTTCTAAGCTGCCTGAAAACTTATGCTTCCTTTAAGTTCTGGAAGTAAATAATATGTTGTTTAACATGTAACATGATACATTGATATAGCATGTTAAGCAAACGCAGTTTATCAGTATGTAAAAGAATGATCATAAAATATTTCAATAATACTAGCAAATAAAAGTGTACTACGATTTTCTAGTAAGAAATCTTGTCTAATAAATGCTTATAGACATTCGCTGCCTGTCTGTTTAGTTGAATCTCCGAAGATAGAATGGTTGAATACATTTTAATACCACGTTTGTATCACTGAATGGGAAAACGCCGCGTTCGCTTTGGAATCGCGTTCCGAGAGCGCTTGCCGCTCGCGTATTTCAGCGCGGAAGCGGCGTTGGCGGGAATGCGTTGCCAGGCGCGGCGCGTCGGCTTCGGCCGCTCGTCCTGGACGGTTACCTCGTTCCCCCTGCCGTCCCCCGCCCCCGTCCCTCGCTGCCGCCCGCGCCCGCCGCCACCTGTGC